ACCCTGGCACGCTGCGGCCGGCCGACCTGCCCTTCAGCCCCGAGGCCCTAGTGGACCGCAAGGAGTTCTGGGCGGTGTGCCGCGTGCCTGGGCCTCTGCATAGCGGCGACATCCTGGGCCTGGTGGTCAACGCCGACGGAGAGCTGCACCTGAGTCACAACGGCGCGCCGGCCGGCATGCAGCTTTGCGTGGACGCCTCGCAGCCCCTCTGGATGCTCTTCAGCCTGCATGGCGCCATCACGCAGGTCCGCATCCTCGGTGAGTGCCCGGCGCAGTCCCAGTTGGGATGGTGATGGTGGTCTTGCTAGGGCTAGCAGCTAGACAGTCACCCTAAGTGAGTTCTGGGCGGGACGGAAGCTTCTGGCCCACCGATGTCTGGGCAAGAGAACAACTCAGACACGCAGCCTGGCCAGATCCATACGCCTCCGTGTAAAAATCGGGGAAGGGAGTTTCTACCAGCAGTCAACAGAGACTTAGTTTCCTTGGGGCTTTTATTGAGTCTTAATGAAAATCAGGTTGGCTGGTTGTGGTCCATGCCTGCAATCCCAGCATTTAGGAGGCAGAGGCAGGAGAATCTCCGCAAGCTCGAGACTAACTTGAGTTAGCATTTTGAGTTTCAGCCAGAGATTTTTAGCAACTGTCTCAAAAACAAAAACAGCAACAGAGAAGTTGGTGTATTCTAAGGCGGTAAATGTGTCAGAATAGGGGAATCCGGGAGCAGGTGGCCTTTCTGCCTGAGATTGCAGGACCACAGACTCTTTAGAAGAGGCAGTTTGAAAGGATGTAGCTTGTGTTAAGCCATACTCTCTGGCTTGTTCTGGGTGATGTGTCCCTTACTGTGACCAAGTGTCTGACAAGAAGGCAACTGAGGGGAAGATGGGTTTGATTTGGCTCATGGTGAGGGGGACAGTCCGTCACAGTGGGGGAGGAATGGCGGGAATGTGAGGGCGGTCACATGGCATCCGTCTGCTGTCAGAGAGGTGGGTGCCTGCGCTTAGCTCCATGTCTCTTCTTCCTGTTTTTTCATCTCGGGAAGCCAGCCGTTTGGATGGTGTCACCCACACCCAGGGAGTTTACCCTGCTGGGTATCTCTCACTAGCCTCACTGTAAAGTGAGGATCTTTGAATCCTGCCTCCAGGGATCCTAATTCTGTAGCTGTAGGATAGATTCTGGGTGTTTGATTTTGGCGATGGTGTTTCTGAGACAGGGACTCTACCTAGCCCTGGCTGTCCTGTAGACCAGGTTGGCTTTAAACTCAGAGATCCAACTCTGCCTCCTGAGTGTTAGTATTAAAGGCGTGCACCTCCATGCCCAGCTGATTTATATTTTTATCTAACATATCTTTAGCCAAGGTTGGAGAGCTCTGGGCCTCTCAACCCCATGGCTCAACCAGGCAGCTTGACAGGGCTGTTAGTGTGTGCAGCTAAGCCAAGTTGAGCTGCTTTCTGAGCTCCGCCTTCTGTGAGGGGCACGCAGCACAGGGCTTGCGTGTAGTGAGGGCACGCAGCACAGCACAGGGCTTGCGTGTATGTGGTGCTGTTCAGGGTGTGAGCGGAGAGCTTGTGAACTCAGATAAATCAGTGCAGACTTCCAGCTCTGCAGAGACCAGATGAAGGGATGCTTCTCGAAACAACTAGAAAAGCTGTGCAAAGAAAGGAGGCCGGAGTGCCAAGGAGTTAGAGCCGAGGAAAGATAAATCAGGAAGGGAGGTGAACCACAATCAGCCGGGAAGGAGGATGAATCAGTCCAGAGAGAGAATTCATTCATTAAAATGCAATTGGATTGGGAAGCACGCGCGCACACCACACACACACATACACACACACACACACACTCACACACACTCACACACATACACACACACCTCACCACACACACACACACAGCACACACCACACACATACACCACACACACACACCACACACACATGTGTACACACATACATGCACACTCACACACACACACTCACACACACCACACACACTCACACACATACACACACCCCCACACTCACACACACATACACACATACACACATACACACACATACACGCACACTCACACACACACACTCACACACACCACACACACTCACACACATACACACACCCCCACACTCACACACACATACACACATACACACATACACACACATACACGCACACTCACACACATACACATACACACACATAAACACACACCCCCACACTCACACACACTCACACACACATACATGCACATATACACATACACACACACTCACACACATACACATACACACACATAAACACACACCCCCACACACCACACACATACACATCCCCCACACTCACACACAGCACACACACTCACACACACATACACGCACATATACACATACACGCACACTCACACACATACACATACACACACATAAACACACACCCCCACACACCACACATATACACACATACACATCCCCCACACTCACACACACTCACACACACATACACA